GAAACGGGCCGTTGTCTGCGCCTCCAAAGGGAGGACAAACGCATGCTTTGTGCTTGGGATTTGGCTTCTGATCCCTGGAACCAGGGCACCTTTCATCTGGGAAAGTGTTTGTAAGATTATCAGGGCTCAGTTCACCAGCACTGCTTTCCAGTCTTCTCCGGGCACATCCGGGTCACCGTGCACAGACTGACACAGCACACTGTTCAGTCCCCTGGAGCCGAGCGAAGGCCCTTCTGAGTTAAGCTGCCCAGGGTCATGCCTCGGGGCCACGGGCTAGAGTTTCAGAGCCAGACGGTCTCCTCCACACCATCTAGGCCCGCCACCTGCCACTGGCATACCCAAGGAGGACGCTCTGGGTTGGCATCCAGCCTCTGCTTCCGTGTTCCCCTGGAAAGCCTCATTTCCATTCTGTAATGGAAGTCGCATTGTTCTTCATCCTCTCCCTCCAGATTGGCAGCGACGTCACCTGAATCCAAAGCGGGTAGGGCTCCTTTCTGTGCGGCAGCCCGGACACCACATTGTGCGTGCGGCTTTGAAACAGACCGAGCCCAAAGCCACCAGCTGGTGTCGAGAAGGGGAGCTTGTGTCTCCATTCGGGCGTGGCGCAGGCAGACACTCTGTTGGCACACACGTGGTCGGGGTGAGGTTAGAGCCTCCATAAAGCACGACCGCTTAACTCTGTCATGATTACACCTTGCTTCCTCTGACATCTTTTCATCAGTTTTAATGATTGTCATGTCAATTTATTACCTTAAATATTTCTTAAAAATATTTTTTATTGATTTTTTTTTTTTTTACAGACAGGAAGGGAAAGAGATAGAGATTTAGAAACACTGATGTGGCTGTCCCCATGTCATCCCCAGACACTGGGCCAAGTGGCCCGGCGTGTGCAGAGGGAGATGTCTCGTCCCAATTTCCCAGCGAGGTTCCAGAGGCAGCAGCTGCGTCCACAGGGCCCGAGGCTGCGGAGCCACAGCCTGTCAGTCACTACGCTAATGAGGATCCCCACGCCTGGGGCCTGCGGCTGTGGGGAGGGGCTGTCGGCTGAGGCTGGTGTGGGAACCGCACCCACGGGACCCACCTTCCTTAGCAGCCCCCAGGGCTTGGGACTTCCTGAGCCGCGTTGAGACCCAAGGATCAGGGTTCAAATCTTAGCTCAGCCACTTCCTCGTTCTTAACCATTTGGCAGGTTCATCAGCCTCTTTGCCTCGGTTTCCTCGCCTGTGAAGTGGGAATAAGGATAGCACCGAAGCGGGGGGCTGCGAGGATTAAGTGAACTAACTCAGGTGAAGTGGTTAGCTCCCTTATAGTCCTCTGCCCTGCCCTCCGTTCCCCGTCTCCCTCCCGCTTGTCAGCTGTGCCTCACAGGTGCCATTCGAGGCCATCACTCCCCGTTGCCAGCTCTGCTGGCTTCCCTGAGAGACTGTGTGGTGCTAGGTGAGCACTTGTATTATCGGGAGGGAACACGGTGCAAAGTATATGATTGTCTAGCCCAGTGGTTGGCAAACTCATTAGCCAACAGAGCCAAATACCAACAGGACAACGATTGAAATTTCTTTGGAGAGTCACATTTTTAAAACTCAAACTTCTTCTAAGCCCATTTCTTCAAAACAGACTCGCCCAGGCCGTGGTATTTTGTGGAAGAGCCACACTCAAGGGGCCAAAGAGCTGCATGTGGTTCGAGAGCCACGGTTTGCAAACCACAGCCCTAATTCTGCAGGTGGAAACTGCCCCATCACCTCCGACCCTCCCCATGAAGCCCCAAGGCAAGAAGCAACGCTTCTGCGCAGTAGCCATGGTAACCCCCCATAGTCCGGATGGCCTCCCATCAGAACAAAGGCCCTAGAGCCAGGATGGCAGAGAGTGCTCCCCACCCACCTTCCTCCTTACCATCTCCCCGCATGCCCCAGGTCAGAGCTGGGGTACTCAAGGGGAGCTGCAAATCTGTTGTGGATGCCAAGGGGAAGAGCTTGAGAGGGAGAGCGGAAATACAGGGTGGAGGTGGGGAAGATGATGGCATCCAGCAGCGCTGGTGAGAGAGAGGAGGGCGGGGCAGGCTGCGGTGTCCTTGGGAAGCTATAGAGGGCATTCAGGAGGCAGCACACGGGCTTGAGTCCCATCTGAGCGGCATCTTTCCTTCCTGTTCCTGCTCCGTCCATTCTGCAAGTGGAGCCTCCAGGAGGCACAGAGAGATTTATCGACCAGCAACCCGAGGAGCGGCTGGTCTTGCCGCCGCCTGCACAGACAGTCCCCTACCCTGCGACTCAGCAGCGGGAATGATTTATGGGGCCCCCCGGCTCCACCCCTGAGCCTGCCGAAACCGGGTGGCTTTAGTCCTCCCCAGGAGGGTGAGAATGTGTCCTGGTTGGTGGGCACAAGAACTGGGGTTCACGCTGAGGCTCGCCTGACTGTGAAGGTGATGCCCGGCACTGCGCTCAGGGTTAGTTTTCTGCCCACAGTGACCCAACCAGGAGGACTAACAGAGGAGCCCTGAAGTGGCGGACAGGATGACCTGGATGCAAATTCTGCTGGTGTGGCTTCAGTATCATTTTTTGCCTCAGTTTTAGGACCTCTACAATGGGGATAACGATCTCTGCATCTCCCCAACTCACGATTATTTTGAAAGATCTTGTGACACAATAGATGCAGAATGGCTTCATTGATCGTACAGGCCTCAACCAGGCATCGAGGATTGAATCCAACAAACGTTTTTATTGAGCAACTGCTGTGTGCTATGCGCCATTCAGGGTGCCGTGACGGACACGTGAATAAGACACAGGCCCCGCCCTCGGCGAGCTTACAATCTAAGAACAGTCAAAAGGACGAGCGCACGGGGACTATAATACAAGGCAGACTATGGTACGCGCCATGAGAAAGGTACAAATAAAGTGCTACGGTGGTTCAGCGGAGGGAGCGGACCCCGGCGGCTGGCGGATCAGGGAGGGCTTCATGGAAGACGTGGCTTCTGCATGGGTCTCGAAGGAAAACAGAAGAGAGCGTTCTGGGAGGCGAGGACACTCCAGGAGATGAGAACAGTGAGTCCGAAGGCACAGAGACGGGAAACACGGGCGCCCCTTCCAGGAATGACAGCGGGGGCCGGGTGGATGCAAAGGAAGAATGCAGGCCTCTTTGGACGATCCGGAATGGCAGAATGAAGACTGGGCATTCCTCTGCGGGCCAGGGGAGCTTTGAAAAGCGTGCACGTGCGTGTGACTGGAGACAAAGATGGCTGTGCATGGTCAGGATGCACGGGAGAAGGGGCAGGCGTGCCCAGGAGCCCTCGAGGGGAGACTGAGGCTGACACTGCCCACAGGACCGAAAGGCTGGGGCAGGGCTGGTGGGAAGGACAGCAAGGAAGGGGAGGAGGCAAAGGTGCCTGGGGGGTCTTCGAACGGGGTGGATGAGAGGATCGAGGGTCTTCTAACAGAAAGAGGAGGGGTCGTGGAGGGTGGGGTGGCAGAAACAACCACCCTGGCTTCCTGTGTCCAGTTCATGGCGAACCCAGAGCAGACGGGGTGAATGTGGAGTCCAGGCCTGGGACCCAGGGCGGGGTCGGGGGTGGGAGCTGGGCTGCAGGGAAGTGCAGAGGGTAGACCCACAGGAGGTAAGGAGAGGGCAATGTCTATGTTTTGGGCAAGGAGGAGAGAGGGAAACCATGGTCAGATCCACCTCGGCTCCTTTCTAGGCGAAGGGTGTCAATAAATAAACAACAGATACATAAATAAATAAATACATAAATGCATAAATAAGGGCCACAGCGGCATTGAGGAGGGAGGAGAAAAACCACAAGGACCTGTGGTCCCAGAAACCAGGAGGGAAGGGAGTGCCCACGAAGGGTCCCTAGAGAGCTTGGTGGTGAGAAAGGTCATTTCGGTGGGCATCATGGGAGTGCCAGGGCCATGGAGGCCGTGTGGGGGTCGGGAGGAAAGGCAGTGTGAGCCTGGAGGCCCCTTCCCAGGTCGGGGGTGTGTGTGAAGGGAAGGTGAGGGGAGGACCTATCCGCTGGTGGTCCTGTCCACTCCCACAGCTCTGCAAGCTTCAGAAATTCAACATCTCCCGGGAGCAAGGAGACCCTCACCATGAAAGGCCCTGGAGCGGCTGCGAGGGCTGGTGCTTCCTGAAACACCCGCTTATAACACAAAGCCCAGGTCTCAGGCTTCGAGCACCCACAGGCACAGCAAGGAACACAGAGAAGTGGAACCTCAGTCACAGCTGGAGCTGGAGCTGGAGCATCCAAGAGGGTTAACGGTTCTGGCTGTCTCCCCTGGCTTCCTGTCCGCCATTCATTAGGAGCAAGTGTCCCGTCCCGAATTGCCATTGGCGAATTCTGTCCGCTCTCCTTACTGGGGAGCAGTTCTTGACTCCTTAACTCCCTTCACCTCCCAGATAACGGTTTTTTGCTCATCTCTCAAATATGTTGTAAGACACGCATCTGTCAGGCAAGAAAACACACTGAACAAAGCAAGCCGGCTGACGCTGGTCTCTACGTTCTGGGCCCCGAGCCCAGGTCTCCCCGGGGAGTTTAGGTCCAGGATACTGCACTTGGCCTTGGGTTTTTGTTGTTGTTTTTGTTTTAAAGACTCAGCTCTTTATGTTAACGAAGGGAAAATGGGATTTTGGCAAAATTCGAAAACCACTGTGTCTGGGGCGAGAGGGAGTGGAGGCGGCCCCTCGCCCGGCAGAGCAGAAAACCTCGGTGTTGGCGCTCAGGGCCAGCCGGAGCGACCATCAGGAGGCAGAGAGAGTGTGTTTGCGGGGAAACAGAACTGAATACCTCGAATTCTTCCAGGTCTCCCACTTGGGGGGGGGGGCTCTGGAGGCACCCCGAAAGGCAACCACCCTATTAAAAAAAAAAAAAAAAGCTGACATTTATCTTTGTGGTGCCTTTTCGAGCTTCCCCCGGGCTTCCCTGTAGGCGGAAGGGGACAGTGCAGTCCCTCATGTAACATTCTGACAGGCCGGGAAGGAGGCTGACTCTGAGGATGACACCCCTGGGTGCTTTTGAGAACACCCACTGCAGCAATATTTGGGACCCTCTCCTGGTCTGTTCCGGGGCGGGAGTGCCGCCCCCTAGCGGTAGGTTGCAGTTTTCCAAAAGCACAATTTGCAACACCCCTGCTCTCCGCTGTCCTCTGCCTGCTCCGTCCCGGGTGCGCGGGGGTTCTCTCGAAGCCAGAGCATAAACCGTCTGTCGTGTCTTCTCTGGCCATCTCTCCGTAGCTGCTGAAGCCTGTCTGGGGCAGGCGGGCCACCTGCGGTTCATCCCTCGCCTTCAACTCGGACGTGGCCCCTGCTTCTTGGCATCTGCATGCTCCTCTGCCCAGCTGATCGGTCCGACCTCCTACTCCTCCGTGAACGGCACCGTTTAGACTAGGGTCACGTTGTCCCCTCAGGTCTTGGCTCACCCAGAACCCACGTGTCTCAGAGGCTCAGGCCCATGAGCCCGAAGATCCCTCCAACCCAGGAGGCAGTCAGTCTGTCATCCAAAGTCATGGCACTGGCTTCTTCTCATCCCCCCAGAGATGGGTCTCCATTCCGGCGGGTTCTCCATACCTTCTTCCTGTGGCTTATCTGCCTAATGCTAGCTGAACACCATACAGTCATACATACTCAGGTCAATATATATATGCAGGTAGAGATATATATATATCTATATATATATTCTGGTCACTGTTTTACACTTGAACAAAGAAAACCACTAGCCTGCTTGTTTCTAGAGTTTGTGCCACCCCGACTCCCATATCTGCCCGTGGCGTAACTGGCAGGAGACTGTGAGCCACCGCGTCCCGCCGGGAGCCCGCTTACGTGGCTCCGTCACACCGGCCGACAGTCAGTTTCAAAGCGCCCTGCTCGTGCAGACCCTTGAGGGCCTTGAACTCCAAGGGCATGGTGTGGGGGCTGGCCTGGGAGGTGTAGCCGTACTTGAGGCTGTCGTAGTAGTGGTACTTGACGGGGCTCTGGTTCTGGTCCAGCGGGAAGGGCCAGAAGCCGTAGAGGTAGATCTGGTTGCAGAAGCGCGTGGCCAGGGTGTACATCAGGAGGCCGGTGGTCGGTCTCTTGATGTGGACCTTGTTGGTCAGCCAGTATCTGGAAACGAGGGACAAAAGAAACAAAAAAAGGAGATTCCCCGGGGTTAGGAACGATCCTTTCCGGGAAGAGGAAACGTGGGAGGCCAAGGCAACTCCTCATGCAGCCGCTTACATGGAGCGCAGAGGACAGGCAGCTCCTCCCAGCCTGCTTCTTGGGTCTCTCTCACCCGAGGGGGTTCTGGGAGAGTTGGGGCCGGGAGGGAGCTGGCTGCAGCTGCGGCAGACACCACCCAGGGACCTGCGAGCCACCGGCAGTGTCCCCGCGTGAGAGCGTCTCACCGGCTGATCATTTCCTGAGCCCCTTCAAGCCCTAACAGTGGCCGCGTGCCATATTAGGGATTTGCGGCTTGTTTGTCTTCTGATAGTAAGGCCTTAGCAGGGGAAGGCTCTTGGAATGAATTTCTTTGCAGGCTAGTAGTGGAGAGGAGGAGGGGGAGGGAGAATTAGATCAGTGGAAAACATCCAAGGAGCTCCACAGGTGGGTCTGAGGTTACACAGACATATAATGTGCCCTCCTCATAGCTATGCCTTTCCCTCATGTGTCCCCTTGATGAACTCTCTCTCTTTATTTCTCCCTCCCAAAACTAAATACATGCATCACGTCTTCCTGGAAATGTTCCCTTTGTTCTACCCTCTTCTCTCCAGCTCACACTGACTTAATCACTTCCACATCATTATCTCGAGCTTTGTTTCTCCTTTCCCCAAAATGCTTATCAACCGAGCTGACAATCCATCACTGTGTGGGTTGGTCTTCCTCACAAAAAAAAACCCCCAAAATGGTACTGTGACCTTTCTGATAGCAGGGGCTGTGCCAGATGCCTCTGTGTAGGGGATTCAACAGCATCTGGCTCCATGCCTGGTGCAGCCAAGGCTCTATGGCAGAGAGCAGCGCTCCGCAGATACTCCAGATGCACCCCTACATATCCCAGAATCCCTTGTCATTGGACTGGGGTCATGTGACCAGTTACGGCCAATAGGCTGTGACCACAAATGGGACCCTTCTTGGCCAATGTTGGTCAAAAGCAGGTCCTCTGCTTTCTCTTCTCCTGCATCAGAGGACTTCACAGCCTCCTGTAAAGATGGCGGAAGCTTAAGAATAGGCGAATCCTGGATCCCTGAGCCACTGGTTGGAAGAGAGCCCCCGCCAACAAATGGTACTTTGCAAGAATGAGAAATGGCCCTGATCGGTTTGGCTCAGTGGCTACAGCGTCAGCCTGCGGATTGAAGGGTTCCAGGTTGGATTCCAGTCAAGGACATGTACCTCGGTTGTGGGCACATCCCCAGTAGGGGGTGTGCAGGAGGCAGCTGATCAATGTTTCTCTCCCATCGATGTTTCTCTCTCATTAATGTTTCTAACTCTCTATTCTTCTCCCTTCCTCTCTTTAAAAACAACAACAAATCAAGAAAATATATTGCCATGTACCAAGCTCTGGCACCCAGGGAAAAGGCCAAATATGCTTTTGAGATGATTTTTGGCAATCCTTACTTATTACTGTCCATACTCATAAAATACAGTGCTTAATCGTCTTAGCAATTGGGGGTAACCAATTTAAAAAATAATCACTGCCTTCTTAGAGATGACTGTGCCTTCTAATTAAAATCTCAAGTCTGGGCTATTAAAGGTGTGCTGTCAATACCATGTCCCAGATGCACCCAGCTAGCCTCATTTGGGAAGGCAAAATTAATTAGTTAGTGTGTGAAAACTAAGTGTTCATGCCCAGCTGTTATCCCAAGGAAGGAACCCCTCCACCAGTTGGCCAGGCGCACAGTCGCTAAATTGGCCAGGACGACTGAGGCGACATAAAGGAAGGAGGGTGTGTTCTGTCCCCACCGAACTCAGCCGGCCTCTGGTACGAGCAGCTCGTTAAAAGGTGCCCCGTGTCCCTGTCACACCTCTCAGGAGCTCTTGTTTAGCTGTAGAGGCAGAACAGGAAATAAGTGGGTCCCTCCAGGCCACGGAGTTCTCACTGCACCAGGAGCCTCATTTGCTGTTCACACCTTCCAGGTAGCGATTCTGGGTGGGAAGCCTGGCACCGGGGATGAGAGGCGGGGCGTTTCTAGTACCATCTCAGCCGGCCTCGGTGACAAAGCTGTGTGCTTCGCTCGCTTCCTTCTCTCTCCGTTCCTACTTCTCCCAGTTTCTCAGTTTCATCGGAGTCCAACATGTGCTGAGCACAATGGAAGTCAGGATCATCAATTTGGCTGTGCATGATAACAGACTGTGGAACTCCCATGGTTTAGCGCAGCAGAAGTTCATTTCGCATTCTTTTTAAAAATATATATTTCATTGATTTTTTTTATAGAGAGGAAGGAAGAGGGATAGAGAGCTAGAAACATCGATGAGAGAGAAACACCGATCAGCTGCCTTCTGCACATTCCCTACCAAGTATCTGCCACGAGGACCTTCTTGGTTCCTTCACCATCATCTCCCTTGTCTCCTGACCTGCAACCCTTCTCCTGGTCTCAGCTTCAATGCCTCTTCCTGAAGGAAGCCTTCCCAGACCTCCCTGGAGGGTTTTGTGTCCCATAAGTGGTTCTTTCTCTGTGACAGCTGTGGGCATGCCCTGGAGGGGCCATCTCTGGCCCTTGCTGGTCTCCCCTTAGTCTCTGCACCATGCTTAGCCTCTCACCGCTGGGCCTGCCCTCTGGTCCTCAGTCTCTGCTTCCCACAGACGGGCAGCGGGGCCTGTTGGCCAACATGCTGCTCCAGGCCTGGCAGAGATGCCTGCTGGATCAGTGCCAGCCCGGGCCTCGCTCAGCATGCCTAGTGCCTAATTAGGCCCCCGTTTCACAGGCCTCCTCTGTACCAGGGCTGTGGCTGGGCGGCTGAATGGGCCTCCTTTCTTGCCCACGGCTCCCCTCTCTGTGGCTCACAGCCGTCCCTGTTGTAATTGAATTAGAGCGACGCGCTACCAGCTGCTGACCAGTGTCCCACTTCCCTCGGCCACACTCAGTTGCCTGGTGTCCTCCCCCTCGGTTGCTCACCCTCCTTGCCAGCCAGGTGCTGTGCCACTCTCCAGGCTGGAAGAGCTGCGGGCAGGGATTGGTAAGAGTCGAAGGGCAGGCCTTCTGCTCTGGGTCTCTGTGCTATGCTGTCCACCCACTGCAATGCCCTGGCCCAAGCACTGTCTCCGATGGGCCAGCATCTTGAGAGCACATGGTGGTAGATCCCTGTGGATCCTCTCCCAGCCCTAGTTTTCCTGCTGGAGCCTCACGGGCCAAATCGGGGAGCCCCTCAAGGGCAGACGCCCTGTTTTATTGACTTTTACATGGGCCTGGAGCCCGCTCGGTGCCTGTCAGGATTCCCTGAATGAAGAAAGCTTGTTGAATTTCATGTTCTTTGGAGCCTCCTTCTCTTCCCGAACCTTTCAGCTTTCCAATTTCTCTGCCACTGTGCTCCGTCTCCAGCCGGGTACCCAACACAGAGTGAGATTCTCTGAGTGGGGTTTGACCCAGGAGAGTTAAAAAAGGCCATGGCCTCCCTCCCTGACCCTCAAAGACATTCTGTGTCCGTTGCTGCAACCCAAGAGCATAGTTTCTTTTTTTTTTATTGATTTTTTTTATAGAGAGGAAGGGAGAGGGATAGAGAATTAGAAACATTGATGAGAGAGAAACATGGATCAGTTGCCTCCTGCATAACCCTCACTGGGGATGTACCCGCAACCAAGGTACATGCCCTTAACTGGAATTGAACCTGGGACCTTTCAGTCCGCAGGCCGAAGCTCTATCCACTGAGCCAAACCAGTTAGGGCCATAGATTCTTTTTAGCGACCACACACCCGCTGATGATTGGCACGGTTCATCTCTCTGTACACTTGTTTAAAATGCTGCATTTGTCCATGCTACATCGCTGCCTCTTAGATGAGCTCATTGTGTCAGCTTGTCCAAAAATAATTGCGATGTAATCCTGAAGCTCTATTGGACTGTGCACCCCGAATGCCCCATGACCCCACAGAGGGGGAGGGCCATTGGTAGAAACCCATTCCAAGGCCCTGAAGTCCTCTCTCCACTACCTCTTCCCCTTCCCCAAATCAGAGACCCACCCCACCTGTATCTCCTGCCATGTTGCCTTTGGGAGTCCCTGCGAAGGAAGACGCTGGATCTAAGGATTAACACTTATTACTGGTGCTTAATGCTGTTTTGACAGATGAAAATGAGCTGGTTATAGCTGGAAATAGCTCTAGTTGCACACGTTCCTTCCAGTTGATTGCCCGTTCCCCACTAAGGGACCTTTCCTCTCTTTGCCAAAAGGCAGTCCTTTTCTTTCTTTCTTTCTCTCATTCCCCCCACCCCTAAGCCATGTCAGTTTCTGACACTCTATCTCTCTCCTTTCCTCTCTCTCTCTCTTAAAAAAAAAAAATCAATAAAATATAAATAAAAAACTGTCTAGGGTTGAGATGGAGATGAATCTAGGAAAGCAGTACTGCCTGCCAAGGACCTGGCCCCCTCCCCCGGGGAGGGCCGCTCACCCGCGGACGGCGTGCAGCAGGCGCAGGGACGGGTACGCAGTGCGCACGTTGACCCGGTGCTTGAGAATGAGCTCGTTGACCCGCTCCACGCGCTCCTTGCCGCCCCGGGCCATGAAGGCGGGGATCCACAGGATGCTGCCGTTGAGGCTGTGCAGCCGCTGGAGCAGCTTCTCCCGCCACGTGGCGTTGACCAGGTCCTCGAAGGCACGCTGGATGACCGAAGGGTTCATGGTCACCAGGTCCGTCTTGAGCCCCACGTCCCGGGCGTACTCCTGCACGGGGGCCAGGTTGCACCTGCCGGAGAAGAGGACAACGTGGTTCTCTTGGGGACGCCGAGACGCCTCTGCCTACATCTAAGCGGATCCATCCTTTGCCTCCTTCTCATCCCCAAAGAGCATCCTCCTGCACTGGCCGGCGGCTCCCGTCATCCCTCCTCCTGCCATCGTGGGGACCCTGTGGGGGACCAGCCCTCCTGTCTGGCCTCAATTCTGTTTGTTTTTTCCCCCCCACCCAATATATTTTTATTGATTTTTTTTTTTTTTTTTTTTTTTTTTTACAGAGAGAACGGGAGAGGGATAGGGAGTTAGAAACATCAATGAGAGAGAAACATCGATCAGCTGCTTCCTGCACACCTCCTAATGGGTATGTGCCCGCAACCAAGGTACAAGTCCTTGCCCGGAATCGAACCTGGGACCCTTGAGTCTGCAGGCTGACGCTTTATCCACTGAGCCAAACCGGCTAGGGCTGGCCTCAATTCTTTACAGCACTGTAGGCAACCTAAGTGTGGTCAGGCAGTGACCTCCATGATGCATGAATCTGCTTTCTTATTTCCATTCTTTCCTCACGCAATTTCCTCCGCTCAAAACTCTAAATCTTAAACGCCTACCCCACCCCACCCTCACCCCTTCTCTGGCTCTCAGTCAGACAAAACCTAGCATGCTCTCTTCCCCCTCCCTCCTTCAGTCTTTAGACGGGAGGGCTTTGAGAAGTGGGAGCTGAGCCATTAGAAAGGCCAGATTGAACAGGCAGAACCTGGCAAAAGATAAACTAAAACAGGTTTGGCCGCCAGGCCGAGGTGGCTTTTCCATCCCAGCGGACATGGAGGTAAACACACCGCCCAGTCCCACGTCTCGAGGTCCCAGGCTGGGGCTGCCCGGGACAAGGCTGTCTTTGCGCAGGGACGGTCCCAACAGAAACGCGAGACGCGGTAGTGGCTCTGCCAGGGCCGGGGCCCTGTTTGGGATGAAACCCGAGGCTCCCTGTGCCCTACTTTTGACCAGGGGACAGCAAGGCCTTGTTTCCGAGTCTGTCTGGATGGGGGTCAGGTGTCAGGGCCCTGGGTAAAGATTTCCAGGTGTGTCCCAGGGACCAAAAAAATAAGAGATGATATGTCAGTGAGAATGATGGGAAAATATAAAATCCAAGTTTCTCCATTGCTCTGTCACTTCCCAGATTTTGACTCCAGGATATAAGGTTACTAGTAGCCTAGGACCTTCCACAACACTTGAAAGACTTTTGTAAACTTGGACTAACCGGGAGATTTTCTTACTACTCTTTCGTAGCAGGCTCTATGCAGGGGCCGGTAAACTTTTTCTGTAAAAGGTCAGATAATAAATACTTTATGCTTTGCGGGCTGTATACACTATTGCAACAGTTCAGCTCTTTCCAACTACACACGTTGTAGTGAGAAAGCGTCCACTGAGGATATGAAAATGCATTGGTGTGGCTGTGTGCCAATAAATCTTTATTGATAAAAAATAGGCTGTGGGCCATAGATTGCCTACTTCTCTGCACTAGACCTGCAATTCCCATCCTTAACTGTGCAACAGAATTACCTGGCTCCTTGGTCCACGAACCCCCTACCCCCAGATTGATAACTGGTCTGGGGTGCAGTCTGGACATTAGGACTTTTAAAGGTTCCCCAAGGTTGAGACCCGAGACATCAAGGTATTTTCCCCACCCCCCATTTTACATGGATTTATTTCATTCTGTTCACACTGTATAATTGTTACACAACCCACAAGGCTGTGACTAACCCAACCAGTGTGTCCTGGTTCAACCTGGTTCACTAACTGGCAACACTCAGGTACGCCTGCTGCTCTCGATCCAGCGCCCCCGCCGTGGGTACCTTATGACGAAGCTGTGCGTGTCGATCTCCTGCCCGCAGCCGCTGTTCAGCAGGACGCCCGAGTTGCCCACGATGGCGCAGGTCCGGAAGTGCTTGTTCTTCATCGGTGAGGTCCTGGGCAGCAGCTCGTACAGGTTCTGGGACACGTTCATGGTGCTGTCTCGGTCGAAGATGTAGTGGATGATGTCCCCGGGCTTCAGGGTCCCCTTGAGGACGGAAATGTCCTTCTCGGCATCCAAGAACTTCAAGATCTGTTTCCTAGGAAAAGCAAATGCACATTGAGGATCAGGCTCCCCAGTGCCAGCTGCCCTTCGCCAACCCGGTGTCTCCTGGCCAGCATCGCCTTGCAGGGGTGCTGGCGCCCGGCACTCATGGAGCGCTGAGTTCAGATGCCTTCTGAGGTTCCAGGCAGAGATGGTCAGAAATGGCCCAGAGGACCGTCCAGGAGGGGTCCCTGGAGAGCTTGGTGGCAAGAAAGTCAGTGCCTCAGTTTTCTAATGGAAAATTCCAGTTATGGTGATGGCCAACCCGGTTGCTATGGTTATGCCTACTGCCTACGAGGTGTGCAAACTGCCCCGGGAAATGACTCCATTAGGACACAAGTGAGCTCATCACAGAAACATTGATCAACTGTGTCCTGCACTCACGCCACTGGAGATGTGTCTGCAACCAAGGCACATGCCCTTGACCCGAATCGAACCTGGGATCCTTCAGTTGGCAGGCCAACGCTCTATCCACTGAGCCAAACCAGCTAGGGCCCTAGGTGACTAACCTGCGTCCAGGTTTGGGCACCTCTGCTCTTCAGTCTGCCTACGAGTGGAACGCAACTTGGCGTGCCTGGCCAACTCCTAATCATCCTTCAAAACCCGTTGCTCCTTTCCTGGCCAGCCCTCTTGGTCCTCTTACAAAATGAAGTACTCTCTCCTCGGATGATCTTTTTACCTCCACCTCCTTATAAGATGCCTACTGTGTGCATCACACCATCCTTGTCCTGTCCTGTCCTTGCTTCGATCGTCTCCCCACCAACATGCCTGATTCGTGGCAGCCCTCCGGGCCCCCAGGGCGATGCCTGGAGACCAATGGTTGTATTAAGCTGATCCATCTTTGCGGAATCAGTGGCAGCGATATCAAAGGCAATAGCCCAAGTGCTGAAGCCGAAATTCCTAGGTTACGTGTTCCCATTCCAGCAACTTGGAGCTCTGCTTTGCAACCAGATGTCATGCTAGCTCCTGGGCCACCTTTTCGGATATGGCTTCTCATTTTCATGTTTTGGAGAAGGCAGCCTACCCAAGCTTTAGGGCCGTGTGTATGTGTATGTGTATGTGTATGTGTATGTGTATGTGGGGGGAGGGGAGACGGAGTTCTCCAAAGATTCTCCAAGTGGAAGGCACAGATGCCAGACAGTCCCAAGCAAGCAGTCCTTCCCTGGCCCTTTGGAAAAGTCACCTGTAGCCTCGTACCCCCCCCCACTTCTTTCCATGTCCCCCTCCCTCACCTCCAGGTCTCACAGCTGCCCCCCTGTTGAGGGCCCACTCCTTCCGCCCTGAACCTCAGCTCCTGCCAGACACCCCGGCCGAGCGGCTGCATGCACATGGGCCGGCCTTGGGTTCTTATTTCCCATCGACCGCTCACAGAGGAAGCCTGCCTCGGTGGGAGGTAAACATTTTCCTTCTAAACCAACTTCTTTGGATGATAGAGAGTGGCAATTTGCCGGCTTGCGCCCGAGAAGGCCAAGCCTGTCCCCCGTCCGAGAGGTAATTCCCACTACCTGATCTTCAGAGTCAGTGTCCGGTTGTGCCTCCACGCGGCAGAGGCCGGCTGGATGTGGTGTTTAATGCTCTCGTTGCTTCTGTCAACAGCAGCTGGCGGTGAGGAGCCATTTATTACAACCTCAGCTCTGGAAGGGAGAAGGGAGGGAGGGATAAATACGATCTGCTAGCATGCCAACGACAAGTCCGATCGCTTTGTTTTTGCTGGGGCTTGACTGTAGACTTCTCCAGAAGAGCAAGATTGCAGTAATTACTGGAGAAGGGAAGGGAGTCTAGAATGCACAAACGTTCTCCCCACGGTGTATGCCTCACACATTCTTGGAAGCAGGAAAGGGGGTAATAAACCATCTTTCTTCCTCCCCCGACCCTCCTGTTCCCACCCCTGTGTTTCTTCCCATTGGAACCCAGCAGTCATGGTCAGAATAATACTTCTCTAAGTTACTTTCGCAAAACTCCAGATAGCAGTTGTCGAGTATCGCGGTGTTTTACAAACTTAATGAGGAGAAAATCACAAATCTTTAACAATCCCTCCTTTGTCCCTGAGATGCCTTGTCCCAGAGTTCTTGATGCTGTGTCTCTCTCTCCCACTAGCCCAGTGATCGGCAAACCATAAGTCCACAGAGCCAAACATCAACAGCACAACGATTGAAATGTCTTTGGAGAGCCACATTTTTTAAACTTAAACTTCTAATGCCACTTCTTCAAAGTAGACTCACCCAGGCCGTGGTATTTTGTGGAAGAGCCACACTCAAGGGGCCAAAGAGCCACATGTGGCTCGCGAACCGCAGTTTGCCAACCACTGCACTAGACTATAAGCAGGGGATCCCCCACCCCTCCTCATTTCTATATTCCCCAATGGTCTCCTATAGCAGCTGCTCAATAACGAAGTGTTTGCTGGATTCACGTGTGAATTTTGTCCGGCGTGAGCCTGGATGGATGAAGGAGCTGGCTGACTCTGCGGGTGGTGGGGGTATGTGTGTGTGTGGCAAATCACCATTCTGGGTGCACACCCTCTCTCCACCCAGTTCGGGAACCGCAGGCTCCCGAGGCCCCGCCTCAGTTCCGAGGCTTGAAATCTGTGCCAGTAGGTTTCTAAGAAACTAGGTCGCAATTACATCCGCAGGCAGGAGCCGGCCCGCCTCTGCCAGCCACACGCAGAGGCTTGTGGGTCACTGCCAGGCTGCTTGGTCTGTGCTGGCGGCCGAGTCTCCCAGCGACCACGATGGCCGGGTTTGGGAGGCCGGATCCGGGAGCTTTGAAGAATCCAAACCAAGCGCCTGAGCCTCCACGTTAAAAAGGGGGGGTCTACCCCCAGCACTCGATTTTGCTATTTACAGGGAGAGAAGACATCCATTTGGGGGGTGCACGTTGTCTGTGCGCGTTCTCCCCAGACAGCTCCGTTCCTCAGCATCCCTGACTGGTATCACTCGTCTTGGGTTCAAATAAAGGCAACTTTAGCAGAGAATCAAGGAGTCAGGAGTTACTGACCAAGGCCTAGCATCCAGGCTTCCGGGAAGCCTGTGAGAGGAACGGAAGACTTGACCCTTTGGACTGTTTGCTGATTCCCCAAGCTGTGTGACTGTGGGAAAATCACTTGGCCTCTCTGAGCCTCAGAGTTCCCATTTGTAGGAAGGGGGTGTAGAAGAGGAAGACACCAGCGCTAAGGCTCTGGAATTCCGGAAGGACCACCAATAGCCCGTACCCATCGCTGGCTGCCGTCTCACGATGGGTAGGTGCTTGTGGCTGCGTTTCCGTAGTGCTGCCACTTCCGTGGGGGCCACAGGAGGGAGCAGGACTCCCAGGGCCACTGACTTAGCTGCCCTACCCTAAGACCCCAAGCTCCGCCGCAGCTGATGCCAGCAGACATGTGCGATAGAAACACTAGGAGGCCGGCTGATAGTCTCATCAGTAACCATTGACGGGGCCTCTTACGGTTTAATTTAGATTCAATCTGGGGAGCTGCTCCTCCGAAAGGAGCATATTGGGTGCCCCGGGCTCTCTCAGCCGTGAAGGATCAGCAGGGGGGTGGTGACAGGGATGCTCACGGAGGAGACGTGCTCAGAAACCTGCGGAGAGGGCTCCAGGCTTCTCTGTGATGGAGGGAGGGACGCGGGAAATGAAGGCAGGAAAAAGAAAGAGGCAAACGCCGGCACAGACAGCGGTCAAACTCCATTTGTCTCTCCTTTCTAGCGCAAACGTGGCTGTGCTCCTTCCTAACCAGCCGTGGTCTCGCTGAACTTGAACCCTGGCTCTGACTGGGGGACTGGGGGAAGTCGCTTTGAGTCCCTGGCTTCTGTCTTCCTCTCTTTAAAATCAAGGGAACAGATGAGATAGTCCCAGGGACCAGCTCCGCTCACTGGCTGTACGTGCTGGGTCGCACAGAGACAGCTGGATGAACAAACCGAGAGTCCTCTTCAGTGGACGTGTCCTCCTGTCCTCAGCACCCCGCCCAGCCCATCCCGTCTAGCCCAGCGACACTAGAGTCTGTTGGCTTGCAACGCATTTGCTCGCTGCCCTGCACCAGGCTGTCCCCTGGCCAAGTACTGTCATAGGAGGAAACACTCTCAGAATGTAGGATGTGCGTTTAATGATCAAGTTCGCCTTACTCAGTTGACTCCCTAATATTTGTAAGGGGCCTCAGCAAAGTTGCTGAATGCTTTACTTTCCATCATATTGTCCTGGACGCGAGATCTACAATGGAACTGGGTGAATGCCCCGATTCTCTTCCGAGTCTCCCATTACTCAGCAAAAAAATGCAAGTTACGAATAAGCTCTCTGGTAGCCAACTGCTTCCAACTGGGTGGACTCTTGTCCAGAAAATGACTCTTAGCATCTGAGCAGCCTCTAGACCTTGGGCCATTTCATGGCCATTTTTATGGACAGTTCTCCTCCCCCCACCGCCCCCTGCCCAAAGTGATTAGGAAAATGCAAAGCCAACGTGAAAGAAAACAGATCTATTTGCCAAGTAGGAAGGGCACCGTCCCGCCAAGAGGAGAAGCAGATTAATAGCTGCCTTACAGCAAAAACAAATGAACACAAAATCTAATTTACAAACCTATTAGATTTGCTATGTAAGCTGTTCATGGCCGATCTGATTGCACCTCTGCCTCCGGAATTCCTGCAAGACAAAGGAAATGCATTATTTATAAACACAGCTCTTCTTTACACAGCCCTCTTCAGTCCTTGGGAAGTCCCACAGCCAGCCCCGGAGACCTACCGAGGATGGACAAGACCTCCCTCTGGCCTTTCCAAGATGGGCAACATGCCGACCCAGCCACAAACCCAAACATCTCTCAGGGACGGGACCTCCCAGATGTTCCTCTGCCTGCCGCTTGAACATAGTTTCATCCACACCACGGTTTCCCCTTGAGACTTCCGCTTGGGTTCTGAGACAGAGTCCTCTGGGATTCATTTCTCCTCCGCCACCCCACAGGACACTGCTCCTTAGCATGTCTCTGAATCTGCTCCCAGAGTCTCTGGTTTTCCATCCAATGTGTCAAGATGTTGTACATCACATTCTCTCCACACTTGAGACACCAGAAGTGCAACAGAGGCAGCCAGATGGCTCAGTGGTGCCTGCAACCGAATGTGGTAGCAGTTTGGGTTTTGCTGACGAGAGAAATCATATTAAGTGGTGTCACTTTTTGGGAGCAGGAGGTGGGTGACTAACGGGGTCCTCTGCACGTTCCTCTGGAGCAGTGGTCGGCAAACTTATGAGTCCACAGAACCAAATATCAACAGGACAACGATTAAAATTTCTTTGGAGAGCCACATTTTTTTAAACTTAAACTTTTTCTAACGCCACTTCTTCAAAACAGACTCGCCCAGGCCGTGGCATTTTGTGGAAGAGCCACACTCAAAGGCCAAAGAGCCGCCTGGGGCTTGCGAGCCACAGTTTGCCGACCATGGCTCTGAAGGATACATTTTTTTTGAGTAAAAGCATCCCGAGGCCCTTTCCAGGCCAACCATCCATTCAGTCCTGTTGGATTCCGTTCTGGACCTGGGCTCCCAAGCCAGGAAGTCTCACAATGCTTGGCTATCACACGGGGCCGAGGGACGGGTGAATCCATCTTACCCGGGTACCTTGCCCACTTTGTGCCCTGGACACTGTTTTTAAAAAGCTGTAGGTGAGGCTCCTTACTTTATGTGAAATCATTTTTTTTTTTCTTGGCGATTAGAGAATGTGTGGTTTGAGGACATACTTCTGCGTACTTTTCTCATTGTTACTACTTTCTTTTTTTTAAAGTTCAGTCTAGCCTGTGAGTCAAGGTGTTGGTGGGGTCCAAAGGAACAATTGAAGTCTGGGAAAGCTGTGTATTTTAAGGAATGATGTGACTTAATGAGAACACTCTGGGGGAGGTTGATGTCTTGAGTCTGGATTTTTTTATAGGCTTCACATACTTGAGGATATCGTGTGTGTGTGTGTGTGTGTGTGTGTGTGTGTGTGTGTATAAACACATACACTGTCTTTCCCTGATAGACTTACATGTCTTTTTAAACTATTTGGCAACAGGCAGTGTTCTCCTACTTCACAGCTAGGTGACTGGACAACAGAAAGAATGCTGTGACTCCTGCGTGTCTCAAATTTGCCACGCCCAAGTCTAGTTCTTAATTACCCAGAGCATCATTGGTTCTTCACACGTTAAGTCAATTCTCAGTATTTCTTTTTTGTCCCCCCCTGGCTCGCCTGGGGACGGTGGAGCTCTTGACTTCTAACTCAGGGGCTGGGACTATCTGGCTAGTTCTGGTTCCTTCACCATAGACCACTCGGGTCAGCCCCAGGGCTTCCTGGGCCAGAGGAGACTCCGTGTGACCGTGAACATCAGAGCAGCGTTAGCCTTAGAGGCAGCGAAAGTGCTCCTTCCTAGCACGGTGCTCGCACCGAAGTTAGACTTAGTCCCAGCACCACCCCTGCCTATCGCCAACGTGTTAGTCTTCTCCAGCTCCACCCACTCAACTAACTTCTTTCTCATCAGGTCAGGCCTAGTATCTCTACCCCTGTGCCCAGCAGTCTCCGAGACACCTTTTCCTCTAGAGCAAATCTTATCACTGCGCCAAAGCTCTTGAACTTCATAGACACAGAAACAGTGCTGGGCACAGAGCACTGGAGAGGCCAGTGTAGGTTGCAGCCTTGACAGTGGTGTTTCCATGACAACTGGCCAGGCTTCCAGGGATGCTTCCATTGGTGCCAACGGGGAGGGTGAAGTCAGCAAGCTCATGGTCATCTCTCTTCTGCCACTGCGCACCCCTTATTGACTGCCCGGCTCCTTGCTCTGCCACCCTCTCTTCCTTCCTGTGAAATATTAGCTTGGTGGCATTCAGCCATTTGCTCTGATCTCAGCAAACTTGTGCTTATCAGTCAGCTTCTGTCGTGGTACAAAGAGGTGCCGGTCCACCCTGGTTTCTCCCCTCTGCTCAACTTCAGAAAACACCCGTGAGAACTGAGGACTTTGGTCAGGTTCCAGCCGATTGCGCCTGTCTTTCTATAAAAGCGCTTATGGACAACTGCACATCAGATGGCAAACATTCCCTGCCAGGCTTAGTCCTGATCCTTTCTCACCATGAAGTTGTCACCTGTAACCAGGGGGACCCAATCCTCCTATATAATAAAAGGCTAATATGCTAATTGGCCAAATGGTGGAACAACTGGTTGCTATGATGCACACTGACCACCAGGGGGCAGACACTCAAGCAGGAGGGAGCGCAGCTCAGCCAGAAGCTGGGATCGGGGCTTGTGAGTGCAGCAGCAGTGTCAGGAGCCTCTTCTGCCTCCATGGCAGTGCTACGGATGTCCAACTGCCGGCTTAGTCCCCCCCCCCCACTCCCCTTGGGGAGTGGGCCTAAGCCATCAGTCAGACATCCCCAGAGGGCTCCTGGACTGTGAGAGGGCACAGACCAGGCTGAGGGACCCAGTGCACAATTTCATGCACCAGGCCTCTAGTAATTTATAATCCAAACCAGAACACCTTTGGAGTAAACAGAAGCCCCCCCCCCCCCCCCCCCGGGTCTTACCACAGGGTGGCCCTGGACAGCCCTCCTCCTCTGGATAGGTTGAGGCATGAGGAATGACTCCAAGGTATGGGTTCAAGTCCTCAGGGCGTCCTTAATATTCCTCTGGCTCAGAAAGTCCATTATTTTAAATCATGTCCTCTCAACACTTTGTTCCATCTTTACCCGGAACACCAGTCCTGCTGTAACACCACCGTTCTCCTGGTGGTGCCAAGCGACGGCAATAGCCATGCCACAGAGGCTGTCTTGCGGGTGTGAACGCCTCTATGGCAGGGCCTGGCCTGGAGCAGACGCTCAGTGGGTTAGCTTGCCCTCCTCCTCGGTTAGTGAATCCCCTCACCTCCCCGCCCTTTTTCAATGCAGAGCAGGTGGTGGATGAAAATAGATCAGCATCTGTTTACTGCCCTGCTTTAAAATTTCAGGGCAAGGAAGTTAGAGGCAAACAAAAGAACTCGCTATTTCCAGCGAGTCTGCACTCCCCTTTCAACAGGGAAACTCAGGGAGGGTGGTGCCCAGTTGTGGTTGGCAAATGGCAGCTCGCGAGCCACACACAACTCTTTGGCCCCTTGAGCATGGCTCTTCCACAAAACACCACGGCCTGGGCGAGTCTATGTTGAAGAAGTGGCGTTAGAAGAAGTTTAAATTTAAAAAATGTGGCTCCCCAAAGAAATGTCAATCATTGTACTGTTGTTATTTGGCTCTGTGGACGAATGAGTTTGCCGATCACTGTGTTAGAGAGACCTGCCCTTGTTTCAGAGATGGGACTACTGAGGCCCAGAGAGCTAGAGCCTGACCTTCAGGTCACCTGGAAAGCCCCGATCGCCGACTCTAGACTCGTTTTCCATCTTCACACGAGAATTCTCTCCCCGACTGGGCACCTCCTCTGTGCTGGGTCATCTTTGCGTGTGCCCAGCATCCAGCACAGAGCTTCTAAACCCCCTGTGCATGGCGCAGCAGGTGCACTTCACGCCACCAGCTCTGTGATGACCACAGGAGCCCACGGACCCGTCACAGCGGGCAGGTGCCCTTTTTCCTCCAGGGGCATCGTGAGGGCCTGGTATGGTGGAAACAGACACGCTTTCCTGGCGGGTGCTAGCTACCCTGAAATGCTGCCCGTGAAAAACAGGCATGGAGCACTTGGCAGGTGCCACGTGCTGGGTATACAGCGATAAACAGGACAGGAGAGGGTCCTTCCCTTACGAAAAACCATCTGTATAAGATGGAAGAAAAAAAAAAAAACTAGAACAAAAGGCAATAACCCAGCCCCGAGTCCTCGGTGGCTAACCTCCACCTAGTTCCAAGACAGAAAATAGAAACACCACCACACAATGGGGCTCTGATGAAGACCCCAAATCCCAAAGTCAATACGTTGTACTTTATTTTATCTCAATTGATCTCAGCTCCCCAATGCTCCAGCTTCCAAAGGTAAGATTAGGTACCATTAAGCCAACGAGACCAGCATTGATTTAAAAACCCTCCGTGATGCTAGGGGAGGGGGGAGCTTGTGGACCCTGATGGATCTCCTTGTTATCAGCCTGATTGCTGCAGCCAGCTAGCAGCCAGCGTGGCTCATTCCCAATTCTGGCCACATCCCTCAGCCCTCTGGCTCCTGTGTGCCAGGCCATGGAGCCTGTGTAGAACCATGAGTCACCCTGCTAACCATACTTAACTTTATCTGGGCCTGGGCGTTCTTTTTTTAATATAGTTTGTTTGTTTGTTATTTCAGAGAGGAAGGGAGAGGGAGAAAGAGACAGAAGCGTCAATGATGAGAGAGAATCATGGATTGGCTGCCTCCTGCATGCCCCCTACGGGGGATCAAGCCCGCAACCTGGGCATGGAGCCCACAACCTGGGCATGTGCCATGATCTGGAATCAAACTATGACCTCCTGGTTCATAGATGGACACTCAACCACTGAGCAACACCAGCCGAGCCATCCTTGTCTTTTAAGTCATCCACAAGATGGTTTGATTGGAGGATGCTGTGCTTGAACACTGGGCAGTTTCCCAGATACAGTGGGAAATTATCTCTGGTACTGTTTCTGGAAGAGATTAGCTCCCTCTCTCTGGAAGTTTTGCAAGGAGTTGTCATAGCTTCCCTCTCTCTGGGG